ACATAAGTAAAGTGAGAAGCGTAGTCGTTAGTTTCTAAAGTAAAATGCATATTGTCCTTAGCATGTCTTTGATTCTTTGTTGGCTAACTTGAAGTAATTCGGGCTAGGTTTTATCATTCTAAGTCCAAATCCCAAATCCAAACCATTATTTGTGACCACTTCCCATTTTACAAGAATCACTCATTCCAACATTCACTATTCTTTAAAACTTTAGAGTTTGGAAATTGTTTAGAAGTCCTTGAGGATCGATACTTGGATACTCCATCCATTTTATATTACTCTGACAGGTGTGCGCTTGCATCTATATAATTGTTACCACGCTTAGCGCGTGCGTTCAGCATAAACGCCCAGTCAGCAGGCAAAGTCAACTCCGCCAAAGTTAGAGCCTTAAGCCAATAATAAAGCTTGAAGAGATTTAATTGATAATTCCGACATAAAACCAACAAGGTAACAAGAAAAACAACTAACAGAAATATAACAGACAATTTTCCAAAACACGAAGCACCATGGACAACTAGACCCACATTGTCCCTACTCGTCGTCCTCGTCGTCCATGTCATCGGGGGCGTCACATTCAGCCCTAAAACGCTCCTGGAGAAACGAGTAATCGATGTCGGGGTGATCGTTGGAGACTTGGCGGAGAGACCATGAGACGCCACATTCCATGGCGGCATTCTGCAAATTGACATAGTCTGGGTCTTCTTAAACTTCTCGGCCAAAAATTCAGAGTTGGAAAGCTGGGCATTGGCCTCATCGAGCTTCTTCTGTAGAACGACCAAATCATCTCGGGATCTCCTCCTCTCAACCTCCAGATCATGCTGAGTATTCGCTAGCATGCTGTTAGCCTGGTTTAAAGAGGCAAGAGCCTGGTCCAGTTCATTCGGAGGAGTGTAATGGCGACGAAGATGGTTAATTTTGTCAGCAACTCTACCCGAGAACACAACCAAGCAATTAAAAACCTATAAAAGCCAATAACAAACGATAGGCTAGGTGCGACGTTGAGTACCAAGAGGCAACTGTGAGACTTACCTGATGGAGATCACTAAGATAGGTATTGATGCTATGCTGAGGGTTTGAGTAGCCAAAACTCGACCCACTCGATGACTTTCCAAGTCTTTGCCAAAGGCTGAAAGCTCTCTCCAGATAAGCCGTCCCATTGGTGTCGGCATCATATGGGCCCGAAAAAGGAAAAGCCGACACATGGGAAGAAGACCCGGGATGACCGTGAGAGGAGGACGAGGTGGATGTCTCTTGAAGTCGGGCAGAGCGACGAGGTGCAGCATGAGGCATCGAGGGCTGAGCCTAATGGTGAGATGGGGGGTCATCCTCCATCAAGTCAGTTATCTCGACATCTGAAGCCCGATTGGATCCGGCACCTGAGCTCCAAACGTTTCATCAGCGTTCTCTCTCGAATAAGGAGGTGGCCCGTCTTTACATTTCTACAAGGAAAATACAAAAGTAAAAATTGGCTGGATGCATATTTAAGACAATCTCCGACAATTACTTAAAGGTCGACAAGGAGGAGCTAAACCAAAGTCTACCAGGTTTTGCTCTTTTACCAAGTCCGGGCCCCACCGCTCGATGTCTGGTAACTGGATGATAGTGTGATAGAATTTCAATGCCTCAGCGGAAACTTCACAACTACGGGGAACTGTCAACAAAGAAAACAGAGAAAGGGATTTTAGAACGTGACATAAGAAGGTCCCGATAGAGTTCGGGAATCTACATACCTAACTCTCTACACTCTGTCGAGACGGGGAAATGTAATCCACAATCATCTCAGACTAGCCAGTCACCCCGACAAGGAACCACTCATCCTCCAAGTGCTTTACTGCGGAAGGACCCATAATGAGAATTTGATTTTATGAACTAACAGAAAAGTGAAAGTTGTCATCGGGGCTATGTTTAAGAAAATAAAGTGACATGAAGGTGGCCGCAGTTAAAGGTTGGTCACCCCCAAGGTAAGACCATTAAATGAAGCAACTAATCAATGTGGCCACCCATAAGGGACGATCTGGGAATGAGCTATTTGATTGAAAGCTAGAAAGATTTGAAGGAACAATGGCAGGGGTAAGCGAACACTAAATTTGAACATGGCTGCGTAAAATACGACTTCCTCGGGGTGAGATCCGTAAATGCTCTCCCCAGGGTTTGGGAGACGAAGGCTAACGGAGTTTGGAATGCGGTATTTTAAGCGAAGACGACGTAAGTCTCTCGCCGTAAGCGTTGAGTTGTCCATCTAGGAACGACGAAAGGACAGGGTCTCAGATGAAGGATTGGATGACGACTCGTCATCAGAGGTAGTCCACTCAAAGTTCAGGTCACTACCGGATGCTATAGAAATAAACAGGCAAGAAAGAATGAGAAAAGATGGAAGATTACCTCGAAGTGAAGGGGATGAGTGGAATGTGAATGAGATGGAGGGGGTTTATATAGCCCTGAAAAGCGAAGGAGTCTGGCTCGGACCAATGGTTTTTGACCATTAGGCCGAGGCCTACTCGGCCACCATGAAACATGTGACCACCTCGGTCACAGGTCCGACCATGATGTGAAAGGTCATAGCTTGATGTGACTACACCTAAATGAGAACCAATAAAGCTGGGTTCGACAGCTGAGATGTGATATCATCTTGGTCACGAGTTTCAACACTGCTCGGCTCGACAGCCGAGGTAGGAAACCATCTCGGTCACGAGTTTGACCAAGACATGACAACATAATGACGAATGAGACCCATCATTCACGGGTCTATTGGGCAAATGACAACACTTTGCGTGACCCACCAATAAATGTATTCTCAAAGTGATAAGTCCAAAAAACTGGAAGTACATCACCTCGAAAGTAGGGGCAACTGTTATGAGGTAAAAAACGACAAACAAATACCAGATTAAGTCAGGTGAAGCAACTCGCAAAGGGCGAGCCGGACCGAGCAAGGCTCGGTTCTGACCCTACTCGGCATCGAGCTCCGTCCTTGCTCCTCTGTTGCTGCTGGAGATGTCCCGGCCCATAAGCCCACATGTATCATGACCTAGAGTTGGCATTTGTGAAACCCTAGGGAGAAGATCGACTATAAATAGATGGAGAGGTCACCCCTTGAAGGTAAGCAAAACAACACTTCAAGTACCTTACTTGCATAGTAATTCTCCAATTGCTCACTTAGGCATTGGAGCCCGTGTGGCAGAAGTCACACCGGTTTAGGATTGTTCGGTTTTGCAGGTATCCGATCCCTTGATAATCAAGTTTGGTGTGCATTTTGGAGAGAACTGGTCAACCAAAATCCAAGCATCAATATTATGGATGGAGAAAAGGACTCGGACGAGCTTCAAGATTTTTCAAAGATATGAATTTGTTAATGAATTTAGTTTATTGAACTTTGGTTAAGCTAGCTATGAGACTATTATTTATAATTTTGTCTTGTATGTTTGTATTTGGACTTTTGTGTTTTATATTTGCGACTTTTGTTGTGTTTGTCTTTGAACTTTGGTTGGAAATTTGATTGTGAGACATTGAGATGTTATGTTTGTATTTGGACTTTTGTGTTTTATGTTTCTATTTGAACTTTTATTGCAAATTTGGACTATGAGATATTGAGATGTTATGTTCACATTTGGACTTTTGTTGAAGATGTGAATAGAAATACTAAAATAGTAATGAAAATTGACAAAAGAAAAAGTATATAGTATATGACTATGCAATATATACCTTGAAAATGTAAATAGGGGAAAAAAAGGAAATCAATTATTAAAAAAAAAACATTGTCGGTTAAACCGACAAACTAACCGTTGGTCGATTGATCGGCGCAACAATGCAGATGGAAACCGTGGAATGGAAACTGACGTGGCCAGTTTCGGCGTCGGGGTCGGCCGAAAGCTGACCCCTGTCGACCGATGATCAACCCTAATCAAGAGAAAAACAACGGGGGTATGTTATTTTACTAGGCTGTTATTAACCGATGTTTTCGCATTGAAGTTGTTCGGATTGCTAGTGAGACAAACCTGACATCGTTCCAGACTACCCAAAATTTCCATTAACCAAACTTCCGTTAGCGCCTAATAAACCTTAATAAACATCTTATACCTATACTAGGTGAGTCTTATACCTGAACACCCATGCTCCATACTAAAACATAGATTTAGTATAGATTAAGGTCTTTCATATCCTACCAAATTCTTTTGAAAACTTATAAGACTAGTGGTTCAATCATCGATAACACTAGGATTAAGTACAAACTTTAATCAAATAGTAACAACTTCAATAACTAGAAGTCGGTGTTTACAAGCAAAAGTTCATAACCCCTACAAATGGATTTAGATCATCATAGACATAAAACCACAAAGAGAGAGAGAAAAAAAAAAGAAATACAACTCATCTTAATTGGGTGAAAAAGAGGAAGAAAAACATTAAGAAGCTTTGATTTATCCTCTAGGTACACACCTCTATCTTTTCAGCTCCATCTTCTTCCTTGTCCTCTACCTCAAGTCATCTCCCTTTTCTAGGTGAGTATCTTCCTTTCTTTTGTGATTTTCAGACCTTTTTTACTTCTTCGGATTGGTGCTTGATTGTTTTCGACAACCTTATCTCCAAAAATTTATACTATTCCTTAAAATTAGGACAACAGATGACTGATTATACAGAATTCGATAAAAACTAGGTGCTTTTTTTTTTTACTATTGCTTTTTCATTGGTAAAACCAGTTGTTGCTTTTCGGCTCAACTGGAGTGAATATCTTAAATGCTCCGGCATCTCCTGCACTAGAACAAAGCATCATAACTGAGTGATTTTCCTTATAATTTTCCACATAAAGCACAAGATTGGCTAAACTTCAATCATTCATTTTATAGATTTGGAACACTTATAAATTAGAACAAAATCATTTAAAAACTACTATTTTCAAGCTGAATTCTACCTAAAATAACAAGTTATCACATCCCCGGGTTATACTTAACCACATGGACACCACCATTCGGTATCAAGGGATCCTGATCAAACACCTCAGCTTAGGATTATGGGACAACCGACACCGTACCTCGACTCGGGGAAATAGTGGGATAGTGGGGCCTACATATCACACCCTTAAAATTTTCTATAAATAGTGGAATCCTCTTTTAAAACAAGTATGTGACACATTATCATAGCTCAGCTCGACATTACCTCGATCTAAACGCTAACTTAAGCATCAGAGTCATCACCAACTCGTATTTAACATTAGTGTGCAACGACTCACTTGGTACAAGAATCACGCATCAACATTAGGTATTTTAGAGTGTAGGTCGTGGGAAGCTAGTGATCTCTCGACTTTCTCTAAATGATTTATGAGTTGTGGCAAGTGGTTTAATGGTTTAGTGTGAGTCCTTACTGTTATGGATGATTTTCTACCATTCAAATTCTCTTTATTTAAGGAATTCAAAAGGGAGATATCTTGATGGTATGATTGAGGAGAAGATATCCTATATTCAAAAGGGAAGATATCCTGATTACCTCGAGATTCTCCCCAGATTCAGGTAACCAGATTTTATAGATGTATCAGAATTTGAATTCCACCATCCCTAGAAGAATCAGGATTCAACTCCTATCAATAGGGGAGTAAGCCAAACCCTAAAGGTATGCTCACAATACTCTACACTTTATACTCAACTACTCCGATTCTGACTTAAGCATCGGAGCCTGTGTGACAAGAGCCACACTTTAATGCTATTATGTTTTGCAGGTCCAACCTTCAGTGCTATTCTGTTTTGCAGGTCTCGTCGATCCCTGTATTCTAGAAGATTGGTGCGAGTTTGGCGGAATCCCAAAAAGCCAAATTTTTACATCAACACTTACCTTGATTATTGACCAAGGGTGTGGGATGTGCTCCAAATGTTCAAAGGGTGGCCTTATTAATGTCGTGGAAATTCCAAAAAAATTATTAAAAGCTATTTAAATAAATAAATATAAACTTTTTAAATAAGTTTAAAATCTTTATTATTAATATTTTCATTCATATTAACGATTATTTTTTGCTCATATTTCATCAATATTTTCATTCATATTTGTCCAACTACGGGCACCATGATTCATTGTAATAGCTTGTCTCCTTGAACCACAAGCATCACTTCAACACGATTCAAAATGTTGGATTCTCTCTTTTACCCAAGTCCTAACACAGTCATACTCATAAGTAGGATCATTCTCGTTCATTTTGAAATATGGAAACGTAAGGGCTTGTTCGTATGTAATTTAAATTCTGCTTCTTGATTTTAATTAAATCTAATGGACTGTTTGAAAATTTTTGTTTTTGAAAACTGTTTTTGGATTTTATGATCTAAATAGTGGAAATTCTGAAAACAACAATTTTATAATTCCAGTGTTTCCTGATTTTAAATTTGATACAGAATCATATTAAAAAAATTGAAACTATGAGAAATATACGATTTCATGTTATAAACTCAGTTTTGTTAAAATTAAAATATGTAAAACACAATACATTATAAATTATATATATTAATTAATTAATTAATTAATAATATTTTACATTAAACTAAATATTTAACTAGTAATTACATCAATTTAAAATATATTACTAAACACACCTTTTAAATTCAGATTAAATTCCTAAATATGCTACCAAATATGTATATTAGAAAATATTCAAAACATGAAATACAACTATTATTTTCTCTAAATCCTTTGTTTTTATATTTTTGCTTTCAGGTCATCAACCAAATGCTTCCTACTCTATTTTTATTTCTACTTTTTGTTAATTCTTTTTTTTCAAAAAAGAAGTCAGGTTCATATTTAAATTAACAATTAAATTTTAAAAAGTCATACTCAATATCATAAATTAACCCTCATGAAAGTTTGAAAACTATACTTGTAATTTAACGTAGAAAACTTCTAATTTAGACACTTCATTTCTTAGAATTTAAATCAGGTGATGTGGTCTATTTCTTAAACAAATTAGATATAAATGAGTAAAAATGGTTTTGGGAGATCTTTTTTAGTACAACAAATATGGGGACGAGGGATTGAACCTCTGATTTTAGGGAATGAGCGAGATACCTTAACTACTAATAAACTAAGCTCATGTTGACAATGGATTTGAGGACTTGATAATGAAAGTAAGAAAATTTCTGATACTACTACTAATTATTGTTTGCTACGTCAGCATCATTTATAAATGATGACAATATTAAAGAATTATTTATGAAAAAAATTATGGTTTGAAAAGGGATAGTTATTCCTACATATTTTTCTATGAAATTAATCTAGTCAAGCTATTTTTTTTAGAACACGTGGGATGAAGATTCAAATTTGGAGATAAAGTGCTTTTAAGTTTAACCAAGCAAGTTAAAACTAAGACTCAGTAGAATTATTTATTTATAAAACTACAATGAAGAAAACATGTTTCTTCAATGGTAAAAAAAATGGATTGAGGATAATCGGGTCAGACGTTTCTTCGAAGACAAAAGATAAATATATTCAAAATCTAAGAATGTGATAAAAAGATTTAAAAATTTAAAAATTAAATATAAACAAGTTGAAAATACAAAATGAAATAGGTAGTTTTACCTTTAAAGAGTTTTAAGACTTGCCCACTTGTATTTTTGCAGTTAAATTTGAGACAAATTGAGGCCCATGGTGTTGGAAAATTAGACGCTCAAACACAATTTTTCCTTCCACATTTGTATCAAGTTAATCACAATCACATGATACAAATAAGAGATTAAAGGGAAAAGCAGAAAACGACACAAAAATTTATACTGGTTCATCTCAATAGTCTATGGGCTACGTTCATTCTTCCGCTCAGATGCGGGTTCCACTAATAAAAAGATTGGATACAAAACATTAAAATATCTCCCTAGATATTCACCATCACTAAACTCACAGTATACAGACTTCTTTTCACACACTGCCCACAACCACTCAAGTCTTTTTTATTTGGATTCTGTATAAATAAAACCTTAACAAAATGACTCTATTTATAGGAGGTCAAATATTCTAATCCTTATAGGATAAACAATATTATAATCCTTATAAGAAAACAATATCCTACTCCTCGTAGAAATATGTATTAGTGTTGAAAATCATTTTCTTCATAGGACATGAGTTCCCTGTTTTGCTGTATTATCCCAACAATGTCCCACTTCGAGACAAAATATCAATCTTGCCTCCCACTGCACTAACAGTATCCCATCATCTTGGCAACCCTGCCAAGGATCAGCTCTAACTGCACCAACAGTAACTGATCAACAACAACCACTCGATCAACAACTGCACCAACCGTCTGTGATTGCTTCGAGACTGAGCAATCCTACGATGTCCCTTCTTCCAGATGCTAGAGACACAACCACGTGCTCCCACTCGGTCTAAATGATCTCTGATGTTTCCTTCCTCGATCGAACCCAACGACCTTTGAAGGAAGATTTCTCCTCTGATTACTTGGCACTCCCACCCAAGTTCGTTGTCACTCTAGAGACATTGCCCTTAACTTCAGCACCCACTGTAGTCTTCTCTATTGATGCACTCCTTCGTCTATGCGACTTCATCAGTCTGTCAAACCGTCTGACAACTGGGGCTCGAAACTGACAACCTGTTGAACAACTCACTTAGATATTCTTTTTCCTTTCCCTGTACTTAAAATGATGGAAGAATTACTTCTTCTGTCTTGGTTGTCATTGTTGCTTATTCCTTCAAGTCTTGTCCTGAATCATCTGCAACCTTGTGCATCTTCTGTGATTCATTGGCAACCTAAAATCTAAACACATAAACAGAAGCTTCTTTGTGGCCCACTGGCACTACCTTGGATCCTCTAAAAAGTTTCCAGCTACCCTTTATGAACTCACTCCTGTAACCGTCGTTATTAAGCTGTTTTCCAACAGATAACAAATTCTTTCTGAAACCTGGAACATATACTTGACAGCTCGCAACACCAACTCTTTTCCCCATCGATCTTCAAACAAACATCCCAAATCCCTTTGACCTTGGAGACACTCTCATTCCCCATCCTTATCTTGTCGTGCTGACTAGTAAAAGATGTGAACCACTTTCTGTCTGAAGATACATGTGTTGATGCTGCAGAGTTCACAACCCACTCTGATGGTCGATCTACTGAGTCGCTCTCAACACAGGCTAGAAACTCTTCTACTTGTTTTGCAACATTAGCAAAATCACCCTTTTGTTGATCCTACTTAAGTCCTGCAAAACCTCTTAATGTCCCTTCTTGTGGCAGTAAAAATACTCCACATCTCCACTTCTACTCCCATTCCTCTGGCTGCTATACTGCTGCTTTTCTTTATAGCACATTTTTCCTTTGCATATGCTTTGAGCTACTAGTGCTTATTCTAAAATGTTATCCCCTCTAGAAGTGGATGCGAAATTCTTCTCACTCCCTTTTCTACGAACATCCTCAGCAATTGCAACGTCACAGATATGTGAAAATTTCAGACTCTTGCCCCCAATGAATTCGACACCGCCGTCTTCATCGTCTCCCAACTGTTAGGCAAAAAGGACAACAGTTTTATAGTCTTGACCTCCTCTGAAAACGTGATTTGCATAGACTTCAGCTTGTTCATCAGATTAATGACCTCATTAATGTGGGAGTTCACTGAGGTACCCTTATCCATGTGAATGTTGAAGTATCTCGTAATGAGATACACCTTGATGTTAGTAGAAGGTTTTTCATATCTGTCAGTCAAAGCCTTCATAAGTCCCATTGTTGTTTTCATGCTGCCACAAGACTCGTCCATTCATCGTCAAACACAGCCTGATGATTGCTACCGCTTGTTCATTCATCTTTGTCCACTCTTTATCTGATATCCCAATGGCCAGTCGCTTCTTCATGAATCTTCTTGTACGTAAGAAGATTTGTAATTTGCATCTTCCAAACCCCAAAATTCTCCCCATCAAATCTCAACACCCCTTCAAAGTAATGATGTGACTTTTGACTAGATCCCATGATACTGCAACCTTCAGCACTGATACTACTTGTTGGGAAGTTAGATGCTCCAAATTTAAACAATTTCCCCTTCCATAATTATATCCAGTAAATCACAATCACACAAAAGAAATAAGAGATTAAAGAGAAAAGCAGAAAACGACACAAGAATTTACACTGGTTCACCCCAACAGTTTATGGGCTACGTCCAGTCTTCCGCTCAGATGTGGGTTCCACTAATAAAGAAATTAGATACAAAGCACTCAAATATCTCCCCAAATATTCACCCTCATTAAACCCACAGGATACAGACTCATTTTCACACACTGCCCACAACCACTCAGATTACTTTTATTTGGATTATGTACAAATAAAACCTTAATAAAAGGGCTATATTTATAGAAGGTCAAATATAATAATTCTTATCGGAAAAGCAATATTATAATCCTTATAAGAAAACAATATCCTACCCCTTGTAAGAATTTGTAGTAGTATTGAAAATCATTTTCTTCCTAGAACATGGGTTTCTTGTTTTTCTCTATTATCCCAACACATAGGGATTTTTTTTGGCAAGCTATAGTACTATATAATTAAAAAATAGTAATAACAAAATACAACAATTTCTCTATTTTTTAATTAATAATTTTCTTCTAATTAAGATTTTAAATATCGATATCGATGAAAATGTCAATATTTCATTTTAATGAAAATGTCACATGGAAATATCAATAAATCGTTGATGTGGATGAATATTTATTTTTATCTCCTTCTGAAATGAGTGAGATGGATATTTCTTGAAAAATATGAAAGTAAAAATTCATTACAAATCTTCAAATTAACAAATAAACTTTTTCACCTTTTTAAATAAGTTAAATATGATTAATATATTATGTCCATATTAGTAATATTTCATTTGATAATTTTAATATTTTGTCAATTGTTTTTTGCAATACTATACATAGAAATGTCGATTCAATTCTTATGTGGATATT